AACAATTGGTGTTCAGATAATGTACCTAACAGTTTCTGAATAAAAAAAAATCAGCTTGATTTTTTTAGTAAAATTTTCATCCGATAATTTAAAATGTTATTAAACTTGAATGGATCACACACATTGCTACCAGTCATAGTTTATATGTTATCAATCGATATAGTTAAAAGTAGAAATGTCTATCCTTTTAGATATTTCATTGATTGAAAAATGAGTAGCTTTTCACTTTAATCACACTCTCATCCTTTGTGCGAGAATATGCATGAGAGGCCGTTATTAAAGTGAACAGCTACTAAAAAAGATCAATGGATATAAAAGAAGAACATCGGTATCTATATTGTTAAGAATAACTCAGCTATATGGTGGATGTGGGTCTCGCGTGAGCTGTGGATGAACAGGATCTCCACACCCATCTGTTACTAAAGGTATTTTTAAAAATAGAACACAAAAAAATGGCCAGTTTTATTTTTCTAAATACAACTAAAAACACATAATCAAAAAGTTATTCTCGTATATTTTTCACGACCACCACCAAGTCCTCAAAGACAAAAGAATCGTCTTTTTCCGATTCATTTTTTCATCGTCTGAGATACTGTGTTAATACATCACAAGATGCAGCATGAAAAGCTCTACAATCCATGAAGGATAGTTTATTTGATAATTGCACTTTTTGTTTTCAAAATGAACAACATTCTGCGCCACTAAGTTTTGATACTTCGAAAAACATAACTTTTTTCTGCACGACGAATTCGTTTTTTTTCTTATTTCATCTTTTTATCACTTGATATGCTTTACTAAAAAGAAAACAAAATAACTACAAGATGCAAGGTGAAAGACTCTACAATTTACAGAGAGCAGCTCATTCTTTAGTTGCATTTTTTTCTCAAAAATGGACGAAATTCTGTGCGACTAATTTTTGATGCTGAGAACAAGATCATTTTTGGTACTTGATCAATCTTTTTTCTTATTGTTTTGGTTAAAGAGTTGTATCGAAAGTCATAATCGAGGGTCAAACAATGTTATAAAGTTAAAAAGAATGATTCATTAATTGATGACATAAGAAAAAGATGTCATCGTGTACCAAAAAGTTTATTTTTTTTTTTTCGAAGTGTCAAAAATTAGTGGCTCAAAATTTTATCCATTTTGAAAACAAAAAGTACAATTATCAAATAAGTTGTCCTTCATAAATTGTAGAGCTTTTCACACTGCATTCTGTGATTTATTTTTTTTTTTCAACACAGCGTAGTAGGGGATGAAAAACTGAATCGGACAAAGGAGCTTTTTTGTCCAAGGAAAAAAGTATCACGAAAATGAGACATTTTTGTATATGTCGAACAAATCTGAGACAATAAGTCAGTAAAATGGACTGCATATAAACATGAGTAGTTTAACTTATGCTCTATTTATGGATATATAAATGAAGATACGATAATAATGAATGAAGGCGAACAAGCTAATAGCAAAAAGGCGATTTTTTTGTCTTTGGGAGAGTATCTATTATTCTTTTCAGGACAAATTTGGCATTTCCCATTCATTTATTCATATCTTGTAGGAAGAGAAAAACCTTAATCAACCAGAAAGAGACACATTGAGTGAAAAATAATTAATAACTGATATAAGAAAGCATTTAGTTCAATGTACTGATGAAAAAATTTGCTCAGAAAAATTCTGAATAAAAAAATGTGTCTTATTAACACCCAAAAATTCAAATTTTTCAGATACAATGGACATTTTTTTATTGAAATACCTTTTTAACCACTTTTCTGCATAAATGTAACGAAATTAGACAGAAAAACAAATAAAAAAAGGGGAAAAAAAAGGAAAAAGCAGAAAAAATCAACAAAAACATGAATTTTTGTGCGGTTTTTTGACATAACCGAAAAAGACGAATAAAAATCGACTAAAATTCACTATTTTTGTTCAAAAAACGTCAAAAATCGATGTCTGTCTGCTTGAGAAATGAGATTTTTTTTAACACAAATAATATAAACTACTTTTAATCAAGAATATGAATAGATATTCATTGAAATATTTACATTAATTACCATTTGAAAATATGAACAATAAATGAAGAAGCAAGAGTAACACTGACAATAGCATGAATGAGAAATAAAAGGACTTTGAACTTATTGAGACGACCATTGTCGACATTTACATTTGTTCCTGCTTCAATATCCGCTGGTAGATTTACGTTTGTATGCTTCTGATTCTGATTTGTGTTACTCACACGGGCATTGACTGCCATTAATAATGCTGCTGCTCGATATTTATACTCGATTACTTCAAACAAAATGACAGCCATCACAATCCAAGCAGCCCAAATTGAAATAATGGTGACGAAAGCTGTTCGCAACGTAGCTGGTAGTACAAATGTAATGAGAAATATATTCGTAACCGAGAGAGTAAATAAAAAAGAACCTACAATGCGGTGACTCCAGTTGAAAATGAAACGAAAACGACTCTGAGGATGGCAACGATATAGTGCCAGCCATATTTGTACTAAGACACAACACACAACTATGCCACCTATCACCGAGTGAACAAATAAGCACGGATTCGGTACATCTTGGCTCACCCATTGACCACCAGCTTGGCTTAGAATAAAAAAGAAGCCAATCAGTATTAATAAGGAAGCCAGAGAGAGAATAAATCTATGTGATTGAAACCAAATAGCCTTGCCGAGTAATTGTCGACGAGCTCCAAAACGCAATGTACGTCCATAACGTGCGAGTAAAATACCTGTAGAAGTCAATACCATACAAGACAGAACCATAGTCGTACCATGAGCATGTGCGAAAGTTTTATCCATTCGTATATAATCACAGTTTATGTTAATCTTTGATGTCGATAGTTTGCTTATGAATGCTTAAATAAACTTGTCGAGCTTTGGTGGCGTTCACTATCTGAAGTTAATTCTTTTCTATAGTTAGTGTTACTGACATATAATTGACAACTTCATTTGCGTGCAGTTGTTATCATTAGACACATGCATGAGCTACTTTCTGTTGCTTGAAAATGAGAAAGACAAGAAATAAATTAAGAAGCTCAAAATGATGTTTGAAAATGCCCGATAAACTTCTTGGCATTATTTATCATGTCAAACCAGAAATAGATGCCAGAGAACATACTTGATTCTTTGAATGTCATCCAATATTATGTTTCGTTAATTAGAGTAGGCCAAAAATAAAATGTTCACTCGCAACTCTTTTTTTTATCTTATCATGACAACTTATCTTTCTTTATTCATCAGAACGTTTTGTCTGCAATTATTGTGGGCTAATATATCTAAGAAAAAAATACGTTGGCGATGGATGATGATAATATCCTTTTGCGAATGATGGAAAAATTCTGTGTGTCGAAATATCCGTTTCGCACACGTATTGAAAATGTAATCAAGATGAAATGAGCTATATGTAGTTTACATGACAAAAACAGCAATCAAATATCCATTTGTCGCTCCTTCAATCACAGGACTATTTCGGCAATTCTCAATCGAATCACAACGATCAGATGGAGTGCTTATCTGTTCAAGGTCATGATACAAATTTCCTATCAGTCTGCTTGTTCCAACAAAGCCACAATAATTGTCAAAGAACTGTAGGGCACTCATTGTAATCAATATTATAATTTCACTTGCTCATTCGATCCATTTTTCACGTAGACAAAAAAACGCAATAACGGTGTTTCAATGCATTGAAGCCAAAAATAATGACACATTTTCGTGCATTAAATAAATAAATCTCTGAAATGAACGCATTTTAATTTCTACATCGAAGTTACCTGTTTCCAATGCTTATTGAAGTAAAAAACAATAATTTTATCAACTTTACGTAGTCGATCATAAGTTTGAATATTAAAAAAAGAACATAGAGTTACGAAGAGGAGAAAATTTTAGATCAGTTTCAGTTCGACAAGCAAGCTTTTCAAACACACATTTCATTCAAATGACTTCAATTTTTGATCCGTCAATTCTTTCGTAATTCATCTCTATCTGCGAGTCTCTTCCATTAGTATTAATGTCTTTCGACCTTTCCTGGTCTTACACTTTCATAAGTAAACACTTCTTTTATTTATCTATTTTTGAATAATTTGAATATCCTATAGAACAAATTGTTATCGCAGTCCTTTACTTAAAAATACGATATTCTCCATCTATACAACCCAACAACATGTATATTAAAAAAATATTCGGCTGTGACAATAGATTTCCCTCTAACACTGTTACTATATGAATCTAATAGAAAACGATATTTATCGACAGAGAGTGTAAAGAATTGTTTTCTCTATCGAATGACATATAATTCAAATTTTTTTCATGCAGAATGAAGATGCTATAAAAGCAGAATCCCAAGTGTCGAAATAATTTTTTGTGCATGAAATCAAGTAGTTTATAAAAAAATGTCAAAAACTGCATAAAAACTTCCTTGAAAGAATATCTTTGTTTTTTGTAGAATAAAGTAAGGACTTCGACCTATCGAATGATATAATCAAAGTCAAAAGTATATTTTCCTTTGTTTGCGAAATATGCTTCACAAGACAAGTGTTACACGGTATTCAAATAATTTTTTTTACATACTGTAGTTTTGTAGCTTTCGAAGAGAGCTATCGAATGATAAAAACCCGAACTCGATAGCTGGGTGTGGGTGTGAGTTGATCTTCTCTCGACCCACACCCACACCCTAAATCAAAAAAAAATTTTTCTCCAACGACCGAGGTTGGTCCTGAAGCGGACTCTCTCTTAAATGCTGTAAATTAACAATACATCCCTAGTACATAAGAAGTCTCATCAAAACGTCACTCGATGAGATCAACAACGCGTGGAGCTGAATGAAATTTGAACTGCCTATCGAATTGTTAGCATCCGAAGCATTGTGTCAAGGCTCACGCATCATCAAGCCGCATTTTAAAATCGTCGTCTGTCGTGCTTTTGTATTTTTATTATTCTTTAGATGCATTCTAGTACATAAAATAGAAAATAAACCTATTTTATTCAAAATTTATCACATAGCCGAAATTTCAGGTTCGCCATCGGTATCTAATGTTGTACACATATTTATAGCTGCCAGTTCGGCTAGAACCTGTGCGCCTGCCTTGATTGAAGGATATTTCTTCATTGTCTCAGAAGTTGCAAAAGGTTCCAATGGTTGCAATATATTATCACTAGCAATATGTGTGAACATTGTGGACGACACGCGCCACAGTGATCGACCAATTTTGGACGCTTCGTCAATTGCCTGAATGGTTTCTTCAGTGACAATAACTTCATGAAAACCGGCCAGTATTTGACCACCCGTCAGCCATTCAAATTGTTTGCCAGCCTGCAATAATAGACATCCTTGTGCAACCTTGACAGCTATTCGTTTGCCCTCTCGCGTCCACACGGAAAGACCTGGAAAACGTGCACGCCCATGAATAGTAAGAAAGTTGAGGTCGGAATGGAAGCCAGCCAGCACGGTTCCTAGCTTGCCAAAGCGTGCAAGATTTGAACCAGTAGGAGCAAGTAGATGTGGTCCATATTTCATCAATGATGTGAATGTATCAACGGGCAGACCAAAACCACGTGCACACATCTCTGCGACAGTTATTACAGTTTCAAGCATGAGCGTTCCCCAACTATTCATTACTGTTTTCCACTCGGGAAAATTGTACGGAATGACAGGATCGGCATGCATCTGTGGAAACTCAGTGTATGACGGTGTATTGCCAATCCTCCAGAAAAAACGCGATTTGTTGTCCAGATCTGCGAATAATAAACATATTCAACATGGAATCAAATGCAAACAGAAACATACCTGGTGGACACATAGTAAGAGGCTTTTCAATTCTGTCCAGTTTCTCTATAAAATCACAACGATTACGAGCACGTTCAATGCGGGTTGGTGTAAGACCGACTTGGTAGAAAACTTCCTTGCGTATATCCTTGGCCTTGATTTCATCGCTTTGGTCGTAGTACTTCTCTAACATATCGATAAATATATCATTGTGCAAATAATTTACGCGTGGATCTTTGACGCACACAAAACCGAATTTGTGTAGAACATCAACAATCGTTGTGCAGTCTTCAGATGCCTCTGCCGGATCAGTAAGGTAAGAAGACAAGTCGACAATTGGATATTGTATGTCTTCCAGAGTTTCATCTTGTTTGATTCGCACTTCAGTCATTCCAAGAGAATATGTATTCTATAGATGTGTTTCTGCGTTAATGATACTATGCTCCCCATATCATCTCATAATATAACTTGCAAACTCACCTTTTGTTCTGTTTTTCATAGATAGTTGACTGTCATAATCAAGAGTGTACTGTATACCCAACCTTGATGTTGAGTCACTTTTCATGACTCATCCTATTTACAGGCATCTTAACCTTTGATTTAAGTGGCTGTAACGTACCGTATAGTGTCAACATGCAGTCCATGGACGATACAGATAAACTTTGGACTGTATTTCTACGACACATAATACGAATAATATCGACCGAAAATGAGTGTGGGTGTCGGTACGGGTAGAACGAAGATTCACATCGACATTCACACCCAAATATAACTCGAAGGCTCAGAGAAGATGAAAAATACTAGAGAAATGAAGAAAAATAGTTAGAAAACATTCATCACTGATATAAACCTCATTGTTATCAATCCGGATATAGGCGTCATTTATATTCCTGGTTTTAGTTCGTATTTCTAGATTCTAACCTTTCAGTCTAGAGAGAATAGAAAAAAGGTGAATAGAAGAATTGTAGTTCATTTGCAAGGAATGAATGTTCGGTAAATACTTTCTCGATATAACCATAGATCGGATAAAGTACAATCAATAGCTGACTTTGAAAGTATATTTCCACTATTAGGATGCAAGTAAAATGGCTGGATCACCATCCATAATGCGTAACACGGTACCATAACAAATGAGATTGTTTAGACTAATTAGTTTATCAGCTGGTAATACGCGTTCCAATTCATTGTTACCAAAATTCGGATCAATTTGTGTTTGCGCTTCCAAAGTTTCTCGCCCAATAATGCCAGCTACAAGTATATGAGGTTTAACTCAACATTTAAATATCATTTGAAAATATTTATTATTTTTTGCATTTTTCCATGGTGTGACATAACACGGATGTGCTGAATATTCGATACTTGGTATTTTTGAGTTCACTCTGAATTTTACCGTAGCTGACATCGAAAAACATATTGCAATTGGGTAAACATATGCAGGGACAAAATCAATCAGTGTAATTTGCAATTTATACTTCTTTTCATCAGCGATTTAATGTTCATGTATAGCTATAGTATAGACATTGTCCTATTCAACTGTTGTTAATTCAAGTACAATCTTTTGTTCGTCAACACAAGTTTGCAAACAAAATGCTAGATTATCATTCATTATTAGCCTGACATGCTGCTAAATGAACAAAATCTTTCAATAACGACAGAAGAATCATTTTGGCAAACACTAAATATCGAATTTCGGAGGCAAGCTTTACATTTTGTTTCGATTATTAGATCAAGTCAGGTCATCGTTCATAATTGTAGTCTTCGTATTATAATTTCCGTTCTCAGTAGAGTACCTAAAAGCTTGATTTCGAGTCAGATTAACATTTCATATTATCGAAGTCTTCAGGAAAACTGTTCCTGAATAATAACTAGCGAGATGGATGTTTCGAAATTAAGGAAGAAGTTCATCACATCATATAGAAATGATGAAAAGCTTTAATTTGCTAAATAACTAATTTTTTTATGACACGGAAGTTGATGGTGTAGAGAACTTCTCTTTTTTCATTTTCTTGCGTGACCCTAAATCATTTGACTTCGGAGCTCAGATAAAGACATGAAATTAAGTTTTAGTTGAGTACTGATACTAAAATTTTTTCATTATCGGTAGCTTAGTTTCTAAACAAAACATTTTCATAACGAACGAAATTCAAAGAAGAAATTTGCTCTCGTGATCCTCTACTTTTTCATGTTCTTTTTTACAGCAATGGCAATAAATCTTTTATCTGCAATAATAACTTATATGATCATCATTATCTTAAACATTTATAAGCCAAAAATAATTAGTTCATGAAAGAAACTTAATTCACAATAGATTCAAATCATTTGTCACAGATGTAACATGTAATTCATTTACATTGATAGCTAACTCAACTGCACACAATCGAGATGCTTTTATTCTTCATATATCATCTTTTCACTGTCTTTACTCACGAATGCATAAATTAACAAATCTCTCACATTGTCTACGTCTTCAACTCATTATCTGCTATGATTACCTTCTCGTGATTTTATTCGTTTGATGGACTGGTTCAACTAAAAATCTTTTGAAAACTGCTTTTTGTTTATTAGAACTCAGTATTGAATATCATGGACATACACAAGACTGTTCAATGAGTCTTACATCTGGTGCTAAAAAGTCAAACTTTCGGAAACTAATAATTTCCACGAAAAAAGACAATTGAAATTTTTTAAAAACCGAGGGTCAGTAGACTGTGTAATTTGCAGCAATGTTATATTTGAAAATCTATACATAACTTATAATTTATCATATAATTCGAGTTTCGAACATAATTGAAAAAATTAGGATATCTATGTGTAAGTTCACAATCAAAATCAACAAATCCATCCTATGTATTTTTTAATAGCCTAATTTTCGCACATTAGCACGTTAGCTTAATAAGTACAATGTACATAATCTCTGAATTTGTACTTAGATGAAAGAAGCATTGTAATTCGTTATATAAATAAATCTGCAATGTAGTATTATTAGTTTTTACATAATTTATCAGATAATAAAGGTAACTAGAAGTTTCAAACGATCTAAATTTCTTTCACACGTATTCTTAAACATCAAAAACTAGAAAATTCATGCAAATATGAATAATTGAGAGAATGACATTATATTGTTTTGAGCATTTTTTAGTAATTGTCAGTGAAAAAATAAATTTAATTATATAAATTCAGCATTATGTCTTATCTAGAAGATATTGACTTAGATAAGTATTTTAACCTATTATTTAATCGTCTCCGGTCGGATGTTGCCATTTGACAACATTGAGCCAATATCTTGCAAAGAGTCGACTTGCAGTGATGATATATAATGTTTTGACAATTTGATAATTGCTACAACACATTTCAACACATATTCATGATTCATACGAGAAAAAAAAACTTTTCACTAAGAAGATGTCTGGGTCTACTCGCCACGCCCTAAAAGAGCATCCGAATCGTAAAAATTATTTCTCTATACGTCTGAACACTCGGTGTCAGAGACAACTAGTAGTTAATTTTGCTTGGTAGATCTGTTGTGTATTGCATCACTGAGATGTATGATTCAGGTTATCCGAATAATAAAAAAAATTGGGATGTTGCCAACATTCGGTTGAAAAAGGTCAAAAATTTGAAAAATTCAGTTTTTTTTTTCGTTTATCAAAGCGCAACTTTTTGTCGTTTCTTTTTTTCATCTATATCTCCATAATAAATCATAGTTTGTCTATCTGTCCATCTATTGCAGGTCAAAGATCAAATATTTCTAGAATGTTCTACAACTTACCGGAATGATGCAATATTCACCGAATCTTTCTAGAAAGTTTCCGAGCACTCTGAAACAGTCTAGTTCGAAATATTTCGAAATACTCTGAAACTTTCTGGAAAGGTTAGGCGAACATTGTATCATTCCGACAAGTTGTAGAACATTCTAGAAATATTTGACCTTTTACTTGTAATAGACGGACAAATAGACAAACTATGATTTATTATTGAGATATAGATGAAAAAAAAAACACGACAAAAAATGTTGCCAAATGACAACATAACATCATCAGGTACAGAATCATTTTTTTTGTTCCGAAAAATACACTTTTGCTGTCCCTATGGTAGAGCAACCAAAAAAAAGTGCAGGAAAAGATTCTTTTTGCTACCTGTCTTCTGGCAGCAGACCGAAAAGGTTTAATATAAATTATAATTTGAAACGGCAAGGAAATTGATGATTAGATGTTTTCTTTGTCGTTCATCATCATTTTGTTTTTGCGAGCAGAACCGGTGTTTTGTGACCGTATAAAGGGCATCTCAACCGTATCAATTCGATTTGGGTATGCACGAATAGTATCTATAATAAAAGCACGATAACGGATATTTGTTTTTCTCATAATCTTATTCTTATGAGCCAATAATAATTATTTAAAAAAAGGTAAAACAAACATCTTACCTGAAGCTATTCATATGTATAATTACACATTAAGATAAATATTTACTAAATTTTTTCTTATAGTCTAACATCCTGTAATTTTTTTTTTTAATATTTAATTTAGTTTTCCTGCATGTCAACATGCAAGGCTTTTTATTTGATAAAAAGGAACAATATTAATAAAAAAAAGAAAAGAAATAAGATTTCAAATATATATATTTAAACAGTAGTCAATTTAAGTAAATATTGAGTTGTTTCATCTGATTGTTGTTCAGTATCTATCATACAAGTATTATTTTTATTTTGACCTGGTATTATTAATGAATCTAAGGATGGATCATGTTTAATTTTAATTTTTTTATTTATTTCAATATTTGATGGTGTTGGTGTTAATATAATACGAAGTGGTAATGCTATACTAGATTTTTTACGATTATTATTTTGTTCATCATTTAATTGTTGTTGTAATTTTTTTGGAAATAATTTTTTAATATGAAGAATTTCAATAAGTTCATTACGAAATTGTGCACCACAAATCATAAGTATAAGAATATTTGATGTTGATGTAAATAATTCAAGTATACTACCAAGAAACATAGGTAAAATATTTGTACTTGATTCTCCATAACAAT